AACTATAGTAATTGTCGAACGTTAATGCATATATATATACAAACCACCACTATTCTCATCCAACTCATGACAGAAATGATTATTCCCATATATCTCACCAACCACTAGATATTTTGAATTAATTCTTTATATTTAGATAGAATAGATACTAGGCTATCTAGTGATGTCAATAGTTCTAGGAAAATCCTAAGTTAAAAATTAGTGATTACTAAGCAAAATAGTGCCAAGATAACTATTTGATTCGGTTCCAACGAATGCAACTTTACCAAGCACATGGAAGTGTATACGATATCATTTCTATTTCCCATCAACAAGCGCTTGCTCCAAGAACTCTTTATGTTTTGACCAAGAATTTCAAAGTGCTGCAAGTCAGCAGAGACCATTGAGAACCATAGAAACCCTCATCTAATCCGGACGACGCATCTACTCTTCAAAGGTCATTTTACCGGATCTCAATGATCAGCGCACCTTTCTTACACCTTCTGGGCTATCTGCGTCTGCTGCGCCGTCTCATTCACAGAGGTAGACTCCCCGTCTCCGCTATTGAGCATGTTCATTTTCTCCTCTATCTTGTTGTACTTCCCGAAGGCGAGCAAGAACAAGACGGCCGTGACGAGCATAACGCCGCTCAACGAGGCGTATTCTACGAGGACCTTGGGGTCTTTTGAGACGGGTGAGAGCGTGATGCCCAGCATTGAGCCGATGGTGCAGGTGAGGAGGAAGAGAGCTGATACGACGCTACGCATGGACTTAGGGGCTTTGGTGTATGCGTACTCCATGCCGGCGACGTACGCAAGGACTTCAGAAAGGGCTGTCATTGTGTAGACGGGGACTTGCAGGAAGACGCTGACCTGTGTTTTTGTTAGGCTCTCGCTGGGATGAGCGAGAATGGTTGAAAGAAACTCTCTTACGTCATTTGGCGTTCTTCCACCGTCGCTGCAATATCTGCTAAGAGGATGTTCGTAGCATGGAGGTAATCGGTAAATCACTGCGACCTGGGTCAGCAGGCCTTGGAAGAGTGGGTTGAAACATTTTACTACTAACGGTCTTGAATCCCTGCCGAATATCCAATGGCACATGCCATCACCAGGAAACCGGCGGTGATTCGACTGATTGGTTTAAAGCTGAGGCGAAACCCTCGCAGGGTTGGGTAAACGACTTTTTCCCTAGAGAATGTCTTAGTATCTAAAATGGAATATAAGACAGCCTAGCAGTATGCGTACATGGTTGGAAGAAAGGTCAAAACCATGATTGGATTAAAGCATCCCACTATAGGCCTCAATTAGTGCTCTCATAACGCGTAAGGATCCCCGGTTGCAATACTCATGTCATTCGGAATGCCATAGGTTTTCATGGTGGCTGCCTGGCTAACCAGGTTGCTGTTGGTCTGACCGTAACAAACCCAGAAAATGGGACTGCAATCCAGCTTAGTCTGCTGCAATCCAAGTCTTTGATGGGCAGTTGGGACCTGAGACTTACAACACACAACTGACGAAAGGCATGAAAGTTATCAGTGCACAAATATCAAGGGTCTCATGTCGCTTCAGATAACTCACAATACAGAACATGCGACGAGTGCTCGTTTCAATTCCTCAACAAATGCATCGTCCCAGGAAACAGTAGTTGCAGGGTGAGTTCGTGCCAAGACTGATGGCTTTGCAGCATCGAGATTGCAGCCTCTCTTGAGACCGACCCAGAAGACTCGCATTGCTTGAATTAGAACTGAGCCACTTGGATTCTGGACAACTAGAAATTATGAGTAAGTAACAACCATTGCGTGAATGACGGAAGGTAGATTTGTCACTTACCATATCTTCCACGACCCACGGCCAGTGCGCCAACTGGTAACACCCAGAAGCAGAGCGGTAGGAGGAATGCAGCCCAGAATGAAACTTTCAGCTCTAGCCACTGAATCGCGTGTCCGTCAGTACATTAGGACAAAATACGACATGGTTGCACCCACAGACGCCGGTATCACAGAGAGTGAGCCAATATTGATAACCCTTAGACGAGGTCAGTGTGTGTGTTTTCGTAAACCGCGATCAATGCCTACTGACCAGTAGTAACGACCATAAATAGTCTGAATTGTGATGTTAGGATCTACAATGACCTTTTCTCCACTTGTCAGTGTCTTGATCCGAGAGGTTTCCTGGCGTACTGCTCAGCGATTAGAAGGAGCAACATTGCTCTTGATCCCTCCAAAAACTATAACAGAAAGTCAGTATGATGGAATATCCAAATCTTGAATCATCAAGAATCACTGACCCCAAACCAATCAAGACCAATGCAACGATGAGGCCGGTAGACCAGCACCCGTGCTCAATACTTGCAGGGAAAGAAGTGACGCAAAGAATCAAGACACCACAACCTCGCGACTCTGTTAGGTTTGTCAGACATTCGCTCCCTTTGTATCGCTACTTGCAAACAGGGACCTTAATCACCCGGTCCCTAGACAAATTGTCCAAAACCGGCCAAGCAGGCTGTCCGCTATGACGGCTCCCAGAATAGGCGCCATATAGCACCAGCCGGTGAAGAAGTAGTTGATACCAGTCGCAACTCCTTGTCCCTATTGAGCGCATGTCAGTGTCCTACTCTTCTCTATTTCGAAGCTGCCGTTCCCTGCCATGTCTAAATACTTACCATACCCAAAGCTCCTGGTCGTAATGGGTCATCGTGAGCGTTTTCTTATATAGTTCTCTGCATGCGTTCAGTTATTGTTTTGCTTTCGCCAGAGATTCGCCAAGTGGAGAACTTACGCATGGGAGCCGTGATGCATCGGTAGGTAAAACGCTCGCCAGCTCTGCCACCGCAACTAAGAATATTGTCGAGGGGATCTATCGCAGACACGTCTGAGATTTCCCTCTTCCATTCTGTAGGCGCGGGAAGGTCATGATCGTCGCGCCTCTCTTCTGAGACGTCCATGATCCGACTATTGATTTCGTCCTTGTCGCTGGGATCTCTCGAATGTTCAGGTGAACAATGAAGGCTGCAAAAAATCGTAGTACAGAGGGAGAAAACCACCAGTGAATCAGAAAAACAGCAGCAAGAGACTGACTGAGCCAGTGCCGATACAACGAACGCGGACCACTGTTGGCAAACTTCAAATGGCCTAAGGCGGAATAACAGTACAAACAGCTCTTTGCTGGGCTTAGAGGACGCCATGGGGCAGGCAAATTCTTATCACAGCGGTGGACGCGTCAGATATGTTCCGCGCCAGAAGTAGTTAGATTCAGCCCACGACCCCCACATCCAGTCGAAGATGATCTGTGAAAATAAAGCTGTAAGAACTTGTACGCCTGGATTAATCTGTATTGGTCTAGTCTTCGGAATCTAGCTGAGGCTGTCCACTTCTAAGACGCAGCCTATCTAGGCTATATCGCTTTCAGGTATCCGTGCGAGGCTTCGAATTTGCCGAAAAGTCTAATCTATCTGGATTATGTGCTGCTGTGTCATCGGAGGCAGTGAGGTAAAATACCCTGTATGCTAACATGATCCAATCGTCAGTCCTTTTACTACAGTGCAGGCCGTTGTTGATTTGATGACAAATGGGACAAGCAAGAACGAACTTTCAAACCAAGGTTCTCTTATTCTACGCAACGAGGTACTTGTCCTTGGACTGCCACTTCAATATATCTCTCGTCTCAAGAAATTTGATCATCTCGCGTATGGATAAAGTGCCTCTCACATGGCGTTGGTTAGGACTTTCATGATGACTGTGTCAGCGAGGCCAATGAAATCATGACGGCCGGTCAAGACTGAGTCTTGACTCTGAACCAAAAAAGTCGCTCTCAATACTGTGAACTTCCGGTTGTGCCCCAGTCCAAGCTCGTCCACTCCCCCGGTCACTCGCGGTGAAAACGTGTGTCATATTCCGGACGCATAGATAGACGAGGGAGAACTTGGTCTGTCACAAGTCGGGCGTGAGGCTCAATCCGGTGCAAACACGATCGAAGAGCGCTTTTCGGAAAGGCAGTCAAGGAGTCTCCCGCGTTTACCGATCGCGTGCCCGGGTTCGGGAGCAATGTACCGCCAAACCTCCAGGCCTGGCATGCATACTTGTAACCCGCCAGTGTTGGAGAAGACGATTGCCAGTCTCCAAGGTTGGTATGTGCAATGTGGCCAATATTCGCGTCACTACTGCCGTAAGGCAGATACTTGAGTAGACCAAGACCTGTTCGTTGATAGCTCGCACTTGCGATGCAGTCTTTCAGGTCGCGAGAGAGCTGCAATGCCCGCGACAATATCGAGAGGATCAGAAGACCTTGCTCGTGAATATCCCAACAAAGTCTTCCAGAGATCCCACTTGGACGTCAGTGGCTCCGGAGCCGTCATGGGCATGTTTGGGGTCGAGGTCGAAGAGCGCATTATTGGGGATCTGGGGCGTGACATCAGCGGCGCTGCCACGGCTCTGTTAGAATCGCTCATGCCATGAAGCTTTCAAATCCATCATTCTTCCCACCATACGGGCCCGTGGTCAACCCGCCGGTTCATATCTAGGACTGAGTAAGTTTTTCCGGAGCGCAAGTTAGGGATCTACAATAGAGTATCTCATTAAACCCACCCTAGTAGTTCTTGGAAAGGGTCGGTACTAATACTCTTGTTCCTTCTCTCAAAAGGGAATCAGCACAGGTCATCGGTGATGGAAAAGGTCCTATCCACGTCTTCTCCAGAATATTATCTGTCCGTACATTGCACAGGTCCAAGTTAGAAAGCCAATGTCACAACAGGCGGAAGTGAGCTCGTTCACCGTCCCAATATCACCATCGATGAGCTTGGCAAGTGACACGGTTGGCAGCGGATCCATAGTGGGCAGCGGTTTTCTCATTCGCAAGTCTAGCTCAAGTGACCTTGAATGCAGCACAGGGAGGTCAGAAAAAAGATCCTTGAAGATCGTCCTCGATTAGACTGACAGTTAGGGTCAAGTCTTGGTAAGCGGCAGCTCTGCAGTTATCTCAGTATGTATAGTGATGCTCCTCGCAGAACCGTTTGACGTTGATGGTTTCAGGACGCAGAGAGCGACACTAGTATCTTCTATCATGATTTTCACCGCCCCGGTGACAGTATTGGTATGTTGCAGTACTATCCCTGCCGGAGAAGATGAACTGATGACGGGCCAGAGATCCCAATTCATCTCCATGCGGTCTGTTGTGGGCGACAAGCGATGCAAACTGAGATCAATTGAGAGCTTATCGCCAAGCCCGGCGCAGACCGAGCATATATCAGATGGTTGAGGAACTGGTTGCCTTCGGAGTAGCGCATCACTAAGAAGGTACAGATCTGCCTGTCCGGGCTCGAAAACTTCTCCCAGTACGGTCTGAACTCCCCTCACCCACAGGCCCTTTTAATGAGAATTCCATCCTGATAGATATCTTCTTAGCTGCGGCGGGGCTGGTGGTAGGGGTTGTACTTGTTGGATATGTGGACGTTGCTGGAAAGCGCATGAGACAACGGCGCTCCAGACGAGGCTGAGAACGGCGGAATACCAGAACTTAGCTCCGGAGGATGATGAGGAAGAATAGGGCGGCTTTGAGTGAATGTTTGAGTCAATTAACTTGAGCAACGTGGTGCGGTAAGGAGTTCCTTCCGTGATGCTAAACTTTCTAATACTTTACGCGAGGATAGGCATGAGATACCATTCCGCTTTTCTTTGAAGTTAATCATCATAATCAAGTTATATCACCATATCACCGAGGTGTAAGGCAAGCCTCGACATATCCTAGTTTATACTCTTATAAAATGCTAGACACGTTCGCGCAACCTCAGCCCCGACTCTCACTATTCATCTGCACTGGCCTGTCTCTTCTGCTCTTTCTGATTTTCTTCACCGATTTAGTGCTCGAGAAGAGATTAGGCAGATCGAAAAGATCATTTTTGGGATGATATTCAGGCAAAGGATCTTCTTCAGCCGCATGCTCTTTCGGACCAAGCATCTGCCAATGTAAGCCGTCTAGAACAGTCCCGATCTAAGAGCTTATTAACATACTCATAATTCCGGGATCCAAGGCTTGAGACCAAGCATACCTTTCCTTAGCAAAACTGCCAATTGTCCCAGACGATAAAGTTATCACTACGGTCGTAGCCCTGGCTCCAACGAAAGTTGCGTGCGGCGTGCCGTACCAAGCTGCGCCCCCATCGGCCCCGACCTCCAAGGAGTAGCCACTTATGCAGTTTACTTTGTAACCTGCCATAGTACGTGAAGAGCCCCAAGCGGCGTCACACACAAGAACCCATCATCAAGAATCCAAGCGGCCTGGAGCTGCGGCCCATTTGGCGCTAAGTATATTTTGGCCAACATAGTGAAGACAGCCAAGCGTTGAAGGAAGGCGGGAGATTAATGCGAAAAGATGAGCCTTCATGGTGAATTGATGATTCTGGAAGAGGTTTGGTATAGAGGATCTATTTTTTGGCTGGAGAGGGACGACCGAAACACCGGGTATGGTGGACCGTAAAGCATATAGTAGCTTTAAGGGTCTGAGAGATGAGTGAAGACGCTGTTACTTAACTATAATGTATCTCATACTCGAGAGGCCTTATATATGTGGTTGTGTAGAGGTCTCTAGACCTATTCGGATCTAGAGGCTTCCTCAAGATTACGGTGACTTAGTACTTACAGAAAAACATTAGTGCTTATAGAATGATATTAGTGCTTACAGAGCAATATCAGTGCTTACAGAACGACATTAGTGCTTACAGAGCGACATTAGTGCTTACAGAACAAGGACCACTACATCTATTATTTAGCTTTCAAGGAGGAACAACAGGTGGGCAAGTTGGCAAGTACGCAACTGAATAACGCAGGCTTGATCAGTTCTAGCTAATGAAACTACTATTATACGCCATTCTTATGAATGCCTATGTATTATTGGTGTAGACTATGGCACTGAAGTAGCCACTAGTGTTTTGCGCGTGACTTCATATATGCAGAAAGCAGGGACAGTTCATAGGCAGAAGCAGTCAATAGGCACATCTGTCTAGGTACAGTGCATTCCTTGTCTAATAGTGGTACTAACATGTCTCTTCCATCAACAGCACCCTCCAGGGGTCAAGCCATGAAAACATCACAAATGAGGCTACCAGACACCGCCTTCAACTTACCACTAACTACACATCCTTAAACATAAAAAGCCCTGGCTCCTTCATTCTGTTGATGTCTGTATTTTAATAGCCAGTCACGTTTTGACTGCTGTCAGGGGGAGAATCTTGTCATGATATAGGCTGCTGTTATTGATTAAGACATTAAGAGTATTAAGACTACTTTGAAGTCGAAGGTTGCGCGGATACTTAAGGTAGGATAGCGAGGTCGCAGGGCTGTCGCGACTACCTTCCATATAGGCAGATACGTGAGATATATTACAGGTAAGAGGTTGGCTTACCAGAATATGCCATGAATGAGGTAGCCCAACCATCTAACTACCCGATAGCCAATCGCCTCCACAGTTCCCATAAAATGTAGCATCATTTTCTACCTAGCCCTACCTAATAATAATCCTCGCCCTTAGAGAGGGCTGTCACCGACCCCTTGGACCCGAACGCCGCATGCCTATGTCGCAGATTTGCGCCCTCGACCTCCCCAAACTGCAGCCGAACCTTATCAATATCCCCCCTCAGCGGCTCGAATCCCAAGCAATGGCCGACGGCCAAGCGGTCCAGCTCCGGATTCCGAGTCGTCATCAAGACACTTGAGAACGAGTTGTTTTGGGGACGCCGTTTCGTCGCAGGGCGAAGAAGCCGACGACGACGCACGCAATCGTGACAGCCAGCGCACTCATGTAAGCCGCTAGCAGGACCGTACTGCCGTAGAAATAGTAGTTGCGGTTGGTCAAGTCCATTACTTTGACGGTGGAGTTTCCGCCATTAAGCTGAGCAGGGTGTAGGTGAAATTGTGGCTGAGTCCTCGATGGCCTGGGCCAAGGTTCCGTTCCGGCACGAAGTTTTAGTGGAGTCGTTGCCATGTTTATAATAATAGCTGCTGGTGTCCATAATTCTGGACAGGCAAAGAGCTGGTGTACGCAAGTGACGTATCGTGTATGTCGTCGAAGATGCAACAGTCTTATCCTGATCACTCCGGCTCTCTTACTCTGAACCAGTTCGCCTTGGAGAAGACCCGAGAGGATCATCTGGATTATGTAAAAGCCTGCATTCACTGTTGGATCTACTTCTGAGTATGAAGGCGCTGCGAAGTTGATAGCAGCGCTTTCATTCCAATTGGCATAGGCGATGTGGTCGACTGAGATTGGCGTCAGCGTCTGAATGCCGTTTGGTGAAGTGCATGTCGACTACGTAGGAGGTATTCAGGCTGGCAGACAATCTCAGTGGGCTGTGTGGCGTTGTCGTTCCACAGCGGATTGCTGCCTGCAGCTGATATGAAGACGGTATTGTTGAGATCCGAAGGTGCAGTCCCATGTAGAGCCTCGTTGTCTGGAACTGCGGCTCTGTGATTTCGCTATCCACAGTTTCTGCGTCACCCGTCTATCTCCATGAGAGCTTTGCACTCAGTCGCTGGCATTTGTACGAAGGACCCCAGAATGAGAGATTGTAAGACGAGTTGGAGAACGGTGCAGGAACTGGAAGCACTTGGGCCGATGAGGCCAAGGTTGTGAAGACGCGGGCCATGCTGGCAGATGGGGAGGTGATGTGCCACGCCTCATCGAATTGTGCCTCATTACGCCAGAATGATGGGTCGAAGTTAACGTTTGGAACGAGCCGCTCGATCTCATCCCTGGCTGGATATGTAACCACGTTCAAAGTTGCGGGCGTA